TTGATTTCTGCAAAGCAGATGGGATTCTGCTTCATGAACTATTCACAATTATTTTATCATGAGGATGATGACCTCCTTTCGAACTCAGGTGCTCCACACACCTGTACGATACATTTAAGATTCTCGGAGAAGCTGCATGATCCCATAGTTTTGAGGGAATTAAAAAGGACTCCAATAAACGTAGATAACTAGTAATTATATCAGTAGTTGTCAAAATACCTAAAAGGTTCTCAGTTGGATGACAAGCAGAAATCAAGCAGTTTCCTTAGCTCATTTATAAAACATGCACATGTGTGTGACTGTGTGTATTGTCTTGCTTGTCACCATGCTACAAGCTGCTTGGGTTCTTAGTCAGTCTGTTTCAAAGCAGGCTATGAGGAGAAGAATGCCTTTCTGTGGCAGTGGGGCCAGCCCCCAGTTCTGAGGGCCACACCAGAGAAGAGATCAAATGGCCCCCGGATTAGCAGAGTGTGAGAAAGCAAACCTGTGGGAGCACAGGCCGGGGCTCGCCTCACAGAATTCTCCTATGGAACCTCTCCCTTCTGAGAAATGCAAGTGCCATGCAAGCCCTCAGTCTCAAGAAACATTATCAGCACAATTATTAAGAAAAAAGAGATGAAGGCTCAAATTATCAATTCAAAATTGAGCTTATTAAATGATGACATACCACACCCAACTGGATGGTAAACAGTGTATAATGTATATTAAAACATTTTCTACACTTTAGGGACTTTTGCTTCAATGTTAATTGCTTATAAAAGTGAAAGATAAAAAAATAGTACCATGTCCTGGGATTAGATATCCCATGTTGGTGGCTGAGACAGGGGATGATGTAGGTGAAGGAAAACAGTAATTTGGAATGTGGAACTTTCCGTCCTGTCACTGTACGGTTGTAGAGAAGTCTGGAGGCCTATGTCCTACCTTACAAAAATGAGGATGATAAACTCTAAACCTTCCTTTTAGCTCCCGGTTCTCTGATTCTATTGCCTCTAATTTACTATGCTGGCAGTAGGATTCAGGAGCAATGTAAATAAAGAACATTCTGTGAGATAGTTAAAGCATTGCCATCAAAGGCATCCACCTTGCCAAGGAGGAGAGTGCCCGATAGCAGAATTTAGAATGTTATGTTAGAAACATACCTGCAAGAAATTCAGGCCTTTGACATGAAACACTGTAATGGTACCCATGGCAGACTCCTGACATGTCTTCCCCACAGGCAAGGGGATGCAGGAAGGACAAGCAAGAGGTTCTCTTACCTGCCTGTTGGGTCCTGAGGACTTTTGTTGCCAATGCCTGTTTGATCTGTCCTCTTGTTTTTCTCTCTCCACATGGGATATGCAGCAAATTTCTGCACTTCAAAAGAAAATAGACAAACAAGCAAAGCAAGAAATGTCAGGGCCAAATCAACAATCAGTTATTGAATGTCTACCAAGTGTCAGTTCTTGTGTTGGACTAGAAGGGTATATGTCCACATTTCCAGAGAGGTAAACTAGGTTATCCTGCAGGTAAATCTCATTTACAAAATATGAGATGGCTTCACTTTCTAGCTGAATATGTCTTTGTTAAACACAGCTAGATCTCATGTCAGATCAAAAGTTCCTTTATATCACAGAGGACATTTCTAGCCTATTCCTAGCATCCAGAGTGGATGCTCTGGATACTATATTGCATGTTGTTTGTTTGTTTGTTTTAATTATTTTTTTAAAGATTTATTTATTTATATAAGCACTGGGTACAGTGAGAAGTGCAGAAGGGTGAGAGGATTCATCAAGAGCGGGAAACAGAACAGGCAGAACAACGAAATACATTGCTGAGGGGAGCAGCGGGCGTGGCAGGAGAGACCCTTGCCAGTGGCCAGGGATAGAACCGGTGCTGCAGAGGCTGCAGACAGCTTCGCAGCCTAGCACTCAACCGCTGCACCACCAGGGAGGCCCTATTACATCTTGTTAATAAACTAAGCTTGTACCAAACAACATTTGAAACCATTTTCTTCACATAATAATATATCCTAACATATTTAAAAATGAAACTATTCATTTAAACCAAAATAATTAAACGAATTTTATCTGGTATGTGTGTGTTGAACTACAAGAGAACCACCAAAAGCCTTTCTGGCCCTTGGGTTGTACACTTTCAATTTGCAAGCTTTTGTTTAAATATATCTAACTCTTTTTAAAAATTGAACTTGTTATTTTGAGATAATTATAGGCTCACATGCAATTGTAGGAAATAATGGAGATCCCATATGTCCTTTACCCAGTTTCCCCCAGTGATTGCCTCTTACAAACTGTCTGTAGTACAATCTCACAATCTGGATATTGTTACCGACATAGTCAAGATACAGAATGTGTCCCTCACTACCAGAATCCCCCAAACCACACTTATATTCCTCCCACCCCATTATTTAGTTCATCCCCGGTTTTACCACTAACTTGTTACCCACTTTTATAATTTTGTCACTTTAAGAATTATATAAATGCAATCATTTTCATTCAGCCTAATTCTCTGAGAGCCATCCAGGTGGCTGTGTGTATCTGTGTTTTACTCCTTTCTATCGCTGAGTAGTATTCCACGGTATGAATGCACCACTGTTTACTTAACTATTCACTTTTTGAAGGACATCTGAGTGTTTCCAATTTTTGGTTGCTAATAAAATGGCTATAAAACATCCACATATAGGCTTTTATGTGAACATAAGTCTTCATTTCTCTGGAATAAATGCCAGGGACTATAATCACTGGAACATACTCTAAATTGCATGTTTAAATTTTTGAGAAATTGCCAAACTGTTTTCCAGAGCAGCTAGACCAACTGCAATGACTGACTGATGCAGTTTCTTCACGTTCTCATCAGTATTTGATGTGGTCACTAATTTTTATTATAATCATTCTGATAGGTATGAAATAGTATTTCTTTGTGGTTTTAATTTGCCTTCCCCTACTGGCGAATGCTGTTGAGTAACTTTTTAAAAGACTCTCTATTTTATTTATTTACTTAATAGTTATTTATAGAGCATGCAAAATGGACCGGAATGAAAAGACACACAAATCTGCCTCCATGGAGCACACCGTCTATGGCGAGGAAGGAGACAGCCATTCAGCAAGTAATTGTACAAACTATTATTCATATGTAGTCTGGATGATAAAGCCCAGCTTACCCACTGTGAGTTACCATTATTGCTATCATGGAAAGATTCATTTAGGGCATCATCACACCTAGGTGATGCAAAGAAAGGAAAACCCTACAAAATGTTTGATTTTACAAACTTGTTTAAGAAGCAATTCTAGCCTTGGTCATGTTCAAAAAGGCTGTTGCAAAGGTGACTGTTTTCTTTATACATCTAAATATAATGTCAATGAAAAAAGCTGCTACCCACGTTTTATGACAAAACTGTGTTTAGTTACTTAGTATTAACCACTCAGGGCATGCAGATGATTCCCCTCCCACTCCCTCCACCCACTCAAATACCAAAAAAGCCTAGTTTCCTTTCAGCTTCTTCATTTCTGAAAACAACATCTCCATCCACCCCACTGCTGAAATTCCAAATGCAAAAGTCGCTCTTCTTCCTTCCTCATGTCCTTTCCTCCAGCCAGGTCAGCAGCAAAATTTGCCAGCTCCATTCCGAAAATATACTGGATCTGATCCCTTCTCACCATCTTTCTGCTGCAGCCCTGGTCTAAATCACAAGCTACTCTGGTTGGGACTCCCTAACTGGTGTGCCCCTGCCCTGCCCCATGCTCATGATCAGCCTCCCGTGGAGGCAGAATATTCCTTAGAAACTTAAGCCAAGTCATGCCACTTCCCTGCTTAAACCCTCCTAATGTTCTGCTTTCTTAGCACACTTAGACTGAGACTTAATCATCCTGGCCTGGATTTGAAAGTCTGTCTTGAATTGTTCCTTTGCTCCTTCTCCTTCCCTCCCTGCCTCCCTATTCCTCCCCTTCTCCCCCTTTTTCCCTCACCTTCTCTCTCCCTCCCCCCATATCTCTTTGAAAATCCCATATACTCTCCTATCATCCAATCTCAACTCATGGCCAATCTTGTTTCATATCCCCACCCACTCCTATCCTCAACCTCAAGACTATTTTGAAACAACTCCAGATATCCTATCATTTTAATAGTACACTAGAAATTCACTTTCTCCAAAATAGTTTTACTATATTGTTATAATATGTTGAAACATTTTATTAAAAAGGTTAAAAGACAGATTTGAAAGAAAACTGTTTTGATTCAAATTCTGGCTTTGCTACTTACTAGATGAAAGACATTGAGCAAATTACTTACACTCTGTGCCTCCGTTTCCTCATCTGTAAAATGAGGATAATTAATGGTGTCTACCCTGTGGGGAAGCTGTGAGATTAAATATGTAAATATATGTTAAACATCTGAACAATCATTAGCCTTAATAAATACTTCTAAGGGTTAGCTATTATTATTTCAGAGACAGGGGAATGAGTAATAGGATCTGTCAGACTTTCAGTTCCATGAAATGAATGAAAATTTTAAATTTTATTAAAAATGAAAGAAATTTTAAAATTAATGAATACTGCATATATTCCTTCAACGATACTTCCTTTTATTCCTCTTCTTAGTATGTGCAGTGGAAAACTGAGTGACAGGATTCTGATAGTGAACTTTTGGGCTGCACTATTGCTGTAGCTTATGGCCTTGAGGATTTCACTTAATCATTCTTGGCCATTTCTGAAATGGAAACAGCAACCTTCACCTGGGTGAGGTTTTTGAGCAAGGATATTTCTAGGAGTACAGGTTTCCCCCACTGTCTGAAAGTAGAGTGTTCCTGTGAAAACTTTCCTAAGCTGAAATGTCATAAAGTGACAAACAATCATCGTTAATATCTATGGACAATGTAGAAAGTTCCCAAATCCCAAAGACACCCTACCGATTCATACCGAACAACACATAGAACCTAAAATAACAGCTACACATAGTAAGAGCAGGAATTCCATGCTACCTACACAGCCTGTATAAAGTTCCCGGGCAGGAGGGAGGCCCGCAGGCTCACGTTGCTCCAGGAGCCGCTGCCGCAAAAACCGCTGTCGCAAAGCTGACGCTGAGCGCGGGTTTGCTTTATGATTTTGTCGTAAAACCGGAAATCTGTGGATTTGTCAGTGAAAGCAGGTACTTACCTACTTTTTTTTAAACTAGGGAAATTAAGAAATTTATTTTGATTAAAAATTGTTGACTTTTGTTAGCTTTGAGAAGATATGTTCTATAATCTGGATTTGATTTGCCATTGCAGTTTACTTTTGATAATTGTTTTAATAAAATAGATTAAAAGGTGATATGCTAGAATTTGCCAAAATTACTGTGAAATTGATAGCATCATGCCAATAATGTATAAAATAATCAACCAATTCAGTCTTAACAGTTCATTTCTCTTTTTTTAAAAGTTAATTTTATATATTTTTATATCATTTTTTAATTTTTGCACAATGCATGCATTTTCATTTTGGTTATATTCCCCATACAATTGCACCCCCCTTATTTTGACCCAAATCCTTCCTCTCCCTGCCCCCCCCCCATGTGTCTGGCCCATAGTTGCTTGTTGATTTTAATTTTTTACTTTGTATTAATTAGTCTTTTTCCTGGTCCCTTATTTAGGTTTTTTAAATTCCTGCTATGAGTGAGACCATCCAGTATTTTTCTTTTTCTTTCTGGCTTATTTCGCTGAGCATGATCCCTTCTAGCTCCATCCATGTTGCTGCAAACTGCATGTGTTTATCTTTTTTGATTGCTGAGTAATATTCCATTGTGTATATGTACCACATCTTCTTGATCCAGTCATCTATTTTTGGGCATTTGGGTTGTTTCCATAGCTTAGCTATTGTAAATAGTGCTGCTATAAACACAGGGGTGCAGGTGCCCTTTTAAATTAATGATTCTGTGTCCTTTGGGTAAATACCTAGTGTAAAAGTGAAATAATAGAATTCCAACATCTGAAAAGTGGGGACACCTGTATTGCAGGTAACTGGTATACCTATCCTTGGGGTCCAGCTGAGCTTTGCCTCCATCTCTGCTACCGTGTTCCCTGCTTAAGTGCACTCTCAGGAAAATACCAGAGGAACCCACGCTTACGTGGTAAATGATTAGGGAGGCTTCCTACACCTATAAGCCCAGCATCAGTGTGTTGTTTAAAGCTTGCTTTGGTAGAAACTCAGTTATTAATAAGCCAAACAGGCCTGAGTACCCCAAATCCCAATATCTGTGTATAGCTGCCTACCTAGATGTTTGCCCAGGCATGAATCCCATCATCCCACATGATTCAAGGACACTCTGGAAGGCAGACCTCTCAGATCTGCTTCCAGGATAGGAGGCAGAACCTTACATATTGATGGCCATACATACAGGAACAAAGTGACCATGTTAGAAAGGGAAGGAACTCAGAGGGGTGCAACCTCATGACACTTTGCAGGGAGGTTCTTGCTGAAAAACCCTGTGAGATTTAAGACATAATCATCTGAATCATGGCCACCGTTAGCTTCCTGAGAGCTGGAATGATTACTTAGTGGTAACACAGAAGACATTTGAAAATAAATAGAACAACTGAAGTATATTTTGTGGAAATAAAGTCTGTGGAAGTAAAAGTAGGAGTTAGGTTTTCCCCAGATTTTACTGAATTTGAAGAGGCTCATAGTATGGATGTTGAGAAAATTTTGAGTACCAAAAGAGAATGTTTAACTGGAAAACATTTGGTAAAGACTTGTCTACTATTCTCTGAACAGAAAGGGAGCAGGCTGTGTCCTCAGAATGGCCTGTCTGCCATCATGAAATCCAATACCAAGAACCAAAATTAGCCCAGATTACCCTCAAACTCAGACAAATCAAGAAGTTATGCATAGTTAGATTATGGATCATGTCTTTAGCAATAATATTACCCACATTCTTTTTAACAAATGTGTAATCTTCAGGGATTTTGAAGGTCTGATAATAATAATAATGGCAATAATAATAACTGACGTTTAATGAGCATTTACTTGTGCCAACTATATTTTCTAAGGATTTTATATTAATAATAAGTTAATATTTATATTAATGTTAATACTTTCATGTTAATGTAAGTTAACATGTGCTATTTATGCTGATATTGTTTTAATATATGAAATTATTTAGCCTTCACAACACCCTTATAATGTAAATGTTATTTAAAAACCTATTTTACAGGTGGGAAGACTGAGAGACCAAGGAGTTAAATGACTTGTTCAAGGTCACTGAAACAGCACTGGCAGAGTGAGGCTTTGAACTCAGACATAGTGCTGTAGAGACCACTCTCCAATGGAATATAAGGTACAACATTAAAGACTATACAAGGCCTTTGTAGCTGGCCCTAGCCCTACCCACACTGCTGCTGTTGAGTAGACAGCACTGTTATAAGTACAAGAAGGACAAGGCATAATCCTTACTCTCAAAACATGCGAGAGGTACCCAAAAGAAGTCATCCTCCATAGATACTGCATGACCAAATGTCAAAAAAGAAAGCATGGACCAACAGTTCCCATCTTTTGGGTCCAAGATTCTAAAATAGTACTAAAGTTGAATAAGGGGGGTTTTGAATCTATCTGTACCAACCATTGTGCCTGACTGAATAGATAATGTCTCATACATATAGTACTACTTTTTTTCCCAAATATGTGCAGAAATATGATAGTGAAAATAAACATTAAGTAGTAAATTCAGGTGATGGTGATAATTATTATTTCCTCAGCAAGTAAATATATTGAAAGTATAACACTAAGGCATACATAGAATTTTGTCACTGGAACAAATGTTAGGAACCTTTGGTTTAGAAAATGCTTAGTGGTCCATGGGAAAGTGAGAAGTCAGTGTGGGTTGAAGGTGTTAAGAAGGCTTCGGGGAGAGGTGGAAATTGAACTGTGATTTTTATTATGTCACTCAGCTACTACTGCTTTAAAAACGACACCCAAGTCTCATTTGTATAATAAATTCTGGCTTATTTAATGTAAAATGAACTTTGCTCACTACTCTGGGTCTGTTGATCTCAGCTGGGCTCACTTATGCATCTAAGGTCAGTTGCTACCATCTAGGTGGTTTGCAGGATCTGGAAGAGATCTTGGCGTAGCCTGCTGCTCAATGGCTCTGTTCCATTGCCCCAATTTCTAACAGGTGAGTGTGCACCTCCTCACAGTGCCATGGTATAGGAAGAGGAGCTAGAGTCAGAGCAGAAGAGTTCAGGCTCTTCGAGGTCGAGGAGGATAATATCTGTCACATTGTCCCTTTCACTGCATTCTATTGGCCAAAGCAGGTCACTGGACCATATCAGTTTCAAGGAGCAAAATGGCCCATGTCTTGATATGAGCAGCTGCAAAGTCACATTGCAGAACTATTGGAGCTGTTTTCTGCAGTGGATATGCTATAGTTATTCAAACCAAGTAGTTCACTTGATCATTCAGGATTTACAGGGACTTCTGGTCAAGTGAGCATAGCATTCCTCTTGGTTGCATTTCATAAACAGCAATCTATTGGGATGTGTGGTCTTGGTTAATAGAACACAATAAGACCTTTGACTAGAAGATCTGTTCCATAGTGTGGTCGCTTCAGTTGCTTAGAAAGGAATGCTGTGCGAGGATGATGAGAAATTGTTTCGTTTTAATCAGGAAGAGTTTATGGTATTGGCCATGGAAAGGAGGAGGGAGCAGGAACCAGCCTTGCACCATGAATGTGCCACGTGTTTTCGTAGCTTCCATCTTAGAATATGCCTATTTGAAGTACTGTCTTCTGCTCACTGCTAAATAAGTGGCTATTTCCATGGGAAGCAAAATTCCACAGTGGTAAGAGCTTGAGGTCTAATATAGGTCTAAGATTAGAAGTAGACTGAAGAACAAAGATTTTTGTGTGTATGTTCTGGTCATCAACTGAAACGCTTATAAACAGTGACCATATTGTTCAAAGTAAATTTCATTACCCACAGTTCTAGCCATGGATTGCTTTTTTTAGAACCTTCTTTGTTTCAGATTTGCTGAGTTATCCAGACTGTTAAAAAGCTAAGTGCATGTAAGAGCCCTAAATCTAGTCATCTGTCTAGAATATTTCCTTTGAGGAAAGTTCCTTTTTTTTCTTTCTCTCATTCCCTCCCCCCTTTTTTTTAAATAAAAAGACTTCAAAGGGTAAATTGCTTTATTTTTCCTCTAATAGTATCCTGGAAAGAAGAGGCAGTCTTTTGAAATACATGTTTGTCTGTGAATACCAGGGGAAAAAATGTGCATAGTTGTTATCAGCTCCTACCATCAAAATTCTTTAATTTAAAGAAGTATTCAGTTGTCTGAAATTAGGTTGCAGACTGTCGGGTTGATTATCTTGTGGGTGGTATTTCTTGGTGGTATGAAACAACTTTTAAGAACTTAGATGCAGCACCAGTTGGGAAAAGTTCAGACAAGGAAGAGGAGACACTGCGTTTGGGGCATGGGGAGTGCGTGCACTTGTGCATGTGTGCACACACCTTTGTAGATGGTGGGCGGGTTAGGAGGAGGAAGGACTTACCCACAGAGCAATAATCCAATGACTCCCATTTTGCATCAACGAGGAAGTTACTGCTACCCCTTGCTATAGGCATATTGGGGTGGAAGTAAATTTAAGCTTTCTCGACTGGAGACCAACTTCTAGAAAAATATTAACCCCGTACACTCAGACCACCCTCCAAACTTTTCCCACTGGCCACTGCTTTTAAAAGATCATACTGTTCTCTGACAGACAAATATCCTTTAGGACACAAAATCACCCCCCTAGTTGAGAACCACTGCTCTCATCCATTGTACAACAAATTACTGAGAAAATCCAATAGGCAGATAGAAATCATTGCTATTATTGTATTTTACCCACCCGAGGAAGAATTATCTCCAATGTCGAGTCAGAAGCACATAATCACTTCCTTTCTAATGCAGGAATGATAACCACCAGAGATTTGTAAGAAGTGGTGGGAACTCCATTTGGGCCTTTTGGTACTGAATAAATGAACACAAATCAGTCACAGCTGGCACATTTGAGGGAAAGACAAAATTACATGAAGAGAATCAGGGCAGTATCCAGAACCTACTTCACTTACTTTACACCTGAGCTTACCATCAAGTAGGTTCCATTGGTGTGTTGCTCGTGCAAGTGTGAGTAATCGCTGTGTGAGACCAAATGGAAGATTCAGCCACGGACACAGCATAAGAACCAAGCTCCCTCTTTCACCTTCACAGAGACCAGGCCACTGTATTTGGCCCAGATGTCTATCTTATGTTCAGCATCTGTGGAAGTATATTGTTCTCCCTTTCTCTAAAACATGCTATCTTGTACTGAATCATATTGTCCTTAAGTCCTAGAGATTATATTTTATTTTACCTGGACAATGTTAAGTAAGCCCTTCATAAATAATTGATAGAGTCCTTACAACCTCACTATAGGTAAATTGAAGTGGCCACAGAGTTTCTAGTGTTTTATAAAGTTACTGTCAATAGTAAATTAATACCCCATAACTGAATTGTCTACAAGAGCTTGGAGATTATAAACATGAATGAATAACTTATTTTTCAGTATATATTTTGTAAATATAAACAAGGCAAATAAGATGGCTTCCAGAATGTATCTCTGTGTAGACCTAAAATTATTACATAAATACATATATATTTGTGATTTATGTGCCTACATATACACTATGAATCTATTTTATAACTTGTCAGGGTAATTTGTGTTTGAACATTATTCATTTGTTTGCTCCAATCAATATGTTTTGAAGTGATATACTTATGAATAATAAGAAGACAAGGCAATGAATAACTATGATTTTATGCAAGAAAAGACATTTTTGGAGATCAAATAAATGCTTTTTGTAAAAAAATATTCATTTTTAAACTCACATCTTGCATTTACTCAAGTAAACCCAGAGAAAGAATGTATTAGACTACTGGGAAATCCCTGTCACTTTGTTAGAAATCTCAGAAGACAAGACTCTGGTAAACCATAAATATGACAGCTAATTCCACAGCTACTTTCAACTACAGTGCATGTTTCATTAACACAAGATGCTGAACTGGGAATCTGCAAGACTGTTACAGAATTAATAAGCCTGGTTTCACTTTATGATGATATTTCCTTCAGGGCATGGTAATAATGGGCCTCCTTGTTCTACTTCAGGTAGGGGATGTCAGAACAACCATTATAATAAGATCTATGATGTGAAGTGGTCTGTACACTTTTAAGTTGTACAGCAAGCTCTTTGGTGTATGTTTGAATCTGATGAATCCACTTAGATATTTAATGAAATACATGGCCAGAGTGATCCTTTCAGCTAACGGACTCTTTTGCCTTCTCCAGGGGTGCTATCCATTCCCCATTCTCTACTGCTCCCTCTGAGATGGGGGAAGGGGCAAGATATAGATTTACCTCCAAAAGTAAACTATGTTTTTAAAATGTCCCTTTGGAGAGTGGATTTATAATACAATGGCAGGAAAACTCCAGTTTGGTATGTGGCTGATTTCTCATGTGCACTGAACCACGAAAACTTCCATAGTCTGGGACTGGTAAATATGTGCAGGTAGAAGATGTGCCAGTCCCAGAACTCCTGCCCCAAGTGTGAAACTGAAAGTAAAGTGACCGTAGTTTGCATGGTTTTGGAGCAGAAGGACTCTAGGGTTGTTGGCTCTGTGAAAGGATGAGTATATTAAATGCAATATCACTGAATTCTATTTTAGAGTAAATTTATTGCATAAAAAAACAAGCTAACAAAGCAACCATTCATATTACAAAAGGCTCACCTTTTTTTTTTTTAAAGTGTTGTGTTCTCGTAGGACATTTAAAATGTGATTGATTAAGCAGTGTAGGAAATTTCCTTCTTTGCTTCTCTCTTTTCATTTTTTTCTGAAATAGACATGTATAACTTGTTTAAAAAGAAAAATAATAATTTTATAAATATAGTTTAACTTACAAAAGTCCTATTTTCACATTTTCTGAAGTAAATTTTATTCAGTCTTAGAGCTGCTGTCACAACTCCACTTGTGACAGCAGCTGTGCGTTTCCATGTGTGACTCTGCAGCCTGGCTGCGAGATGAGAAGGCTGAGGTCCAGGGAAGGTGAATGATACACTCACAGGCAGCCTGTAACTAGAACAGGTGGGGTCTGGTGCTGGGACTCCTTTACCCAAGGGGACGCATTTAAATGAAAGTAACAAAGAGGTCAGATGTAAAAAACTATTGGTGCTAAGCTGAGGTATTGGATTCTAGAATGTTTCTATTGTAATCAGATAAATTATGCCACCTCTTTGGTGTCTTTGTATGTCCAGGCATATGTGC